ACTATAACATTCAGATAATAATAAAGGAAAATGAAGAATCTAGAAACAGAATTTACAGAATCTCAGGGACAATGTGAAAGTCAAAGTTAAGCTATATAGGTCTCAAGAAAGAAGTGAAGCCAAAAACAAATGCCATAGAAAACTTATTCACTAAAATAGCAGCAGGAATTTCACAAATCTGGAGAATAATATAGAACATGCATGTAAACCCATGGCATGTATACTGCAGCGGGCTGTTTGTATCATCCAAATCGCTAAAAGATTTACCATCACTGAAACAGACATTTAAGTACTGGGAACATTTGGAACCTAAAGACGTATGACCAGAAAAGAACCTATTCTTTGAAATGACAAAAATTAGTATCAAAGAAAGTATATTAAAAGCTGCCAGAGAAAAAATCCAAATGACTTAAAATCACAAACCCATCAGAATGATAGTAGATTCCTCAATAAAAGCTCCAAAGGCTAGGAGGGCATAGAATAATGTATTTCAAGCCACGAAAAAAAATCCTAACTTCCAACCTAGTTTGCTGTATTAGTGCTTCTTACTGGGACACAGTACCCAACATTGAAAAATTAAAGGAGGTGAGGTTTAGTTTAACTCAAGGTTTTCCCAGATACAGTCCATGGTTAGCTGTCTACAAGTCAAGAGTATCATGGTGGAGAGGCTTGGCAGAGTAAAGCTGCTCACCTCATGGTAGCCCTGGGAAGAAGAACAGGGGGACAATGCCAGAAAGGAAAGGGTTAAATATAGTACCCAAGGCCATGCCTCCAGGACCAACCAGACACACACAGAACAGTGTTCTACTAATCCCCTAGGCTAGTGGTGGTGAACCTATGACACACAAGCCACAGTGGGCACGCAGAACCCTCCCTGTCCATAGGCAAGTCAAGTTTCCCCAGCAGCGGAGGTTTGTATAATAGCACACAAAAGCATGCCAGATGCAAACTTTTATCTTGCAATAAAAAAGCTCTTTGTATCATTGAAAGCTCTATTATTGTGTTTTTATTTTAAGGCAAAAGATGTTAACGTATGAGTTATTTTTTCTAAACTAAAACCTCAGTATTCAGGTTTTATTGTAATGTTGGCACTTTGCAATAAATTAGTAGGTTTGGAGTTGCGGTTTGGACATTTGATCTCTAAAAGGTTTGCCATCACTCCTCTAGGTATTTCTTAATGAAGCCAAGTTAACAGTTGATCTTAGTAATCACATTTTACTCCTTGTCAACTTGACAACCAAACATAACTTAAACCACATTTAATCTCCAAATAAGCACAATAATAAGTTAATATTTTTGCCTAACATGATACAATTATCTTGCATACATCAAAAATTCAATAGTCTTTTCCCTAACATCTCAACAGTATCAGCATTTTCAAAAGTTGAATTCATACTTTAAAAAGATCACATATCATGATCCAAGTCGGTTTCATTCAAGAAATAGAAAGATGTTTCAATATGTGCAAATCAATAAATCTAATACGCCAAACAAATAGAATCAGGCAAAAAAAATCACATTATAATCACAATTCATGCAGAAAATGTCTTTGACAATATATAACATCTCTGGATAAAAAGCCCTGGAGAAACTATGTATAGAAGGAACTTGTCTCAAAATGATAAAGGACCTATACCACAAACCCACAAGCAACATCCTATGGAATTAAGAAAATTAAAAGTCTTCCTGTTAAATCAAGATCGAGACAAGGTTGTTCACTCTCAGTACTTCTATTAAATATAGTACTTTAACTTTTAGGTAGAACAGTTAGACAAGAGATCAAAATAAAAGGGTTACAAAGAGAAATGGAAGAAGTTGATTATTGTTACTTAGAGATGGTGTGATCCTTTACTTAGAAGATCCTAAAAAATCTACAGAATACTTTTACCTCTGATAAGGGAATTAATCAAAGTGACAAGATTCAAAAACAACTTACAAAGTCAGTAACTTTTTGTATAAACCAATAAAGTACCTGGTTAGCAGAAAATCAGAAGAAAATCCATTTAAAATAACTCCAAAAATAAAATGCCTAATTATAATCCAAACTAAGAAGGTCTTTGATAATGAAAATTATAAAACACTTAAGAAAGAAATTGAAGAAGACACTAGTAGACAAACTACCTCCTATGTTCCTGTATCGGAACATTTGATATTGTTAAAATGGCCATATTACTCAGCAAGATCTGCAGATTCGGTGCAAACCTCAAAATACCAATTACATTCTTCAGTGAATTATAAAAGAATCCCAAAATTTATATGAAAATACAAGAGACTCAGAATGGTCAATGTGATTCCGAGCAAAAAGAGCAATGCTAGAAAGTTATATGCTTACAAAGTTATACTAACAAAAATAGCACGAATCTGGCATAAAAGCACACACATGGACCAAGGGGCAAATTTGCAAAGATGCAGGCATTATGAGATTAGTTCAACTAGGAATTATACGTAAAATAATTCTGGAAATGAATTCTATAATTTTAACCTACTGGATCCTTTCTTTTTCTGTGAAAGGGCCCAAGAATAATGTGATCAATATATATCGATGTTAAATATCCTCTAGTTTTCCACCTACTTACTTTTAAGAGATAAAATAGTCAAACTCTTTCCTAAGATGCACACTGTTTTTTCTACTCTTCTCTATTTGCAGTTAAAAGTTTTACTGAATTTAAGATTTGACTAAGTGTATTCTAAACAATCAGCATAATTAACAAATGCCTGTTATTCTGCTATCTATTCCACAAAGAGGTGCTTTTATGCATTTACAAATAGAAATTTCAAGGTAAATTGAACCCATACTACATACTTAAATGTCTGCTTCAACCCAGACACAGTTGTTCATTTTTCCATTGTATTATAGGCAGATACAATATTGTGGGCATTTATCAAAAGACATAGACTACATAGATAATGCTCTACTCTTTATGCAGATCTACATCTTTTTTTTTAAGTTTCAGAATTTATTTATTTACATTATCAATAGAAAGCAGGGTTTAAAAATATTTATTACATTTGGTTTTAGAAATGATAGAGAATAAAAATCAGTAGCTAGCTCACGCAACTTTAGAAGGCAGATTTATGCTTTCACACCAGATACTTTGTATGTGATACTGATGGACACCTAAGAAGTGGGTGACAGAGGGTTCACGCTGCTGACACAGGAACCCTGGTATATTTTAAAGTCTTCTTCTCTGCTACTATTTATTTTAGGCCAAATACCAGTCCCATGGAAACAGTTCTAAACATAAGAGGCACCTAGAGTAAATTAGACCTTAAGCAATAAAATAGCTACATGTTTACATGAAGAAAAGAGGGCCTATCAGTGTAGCTCTCCTGCAAGGCATTGATGATATAAATGCAAAAGCAACTGCAAACTAAACAGCATATAAATGGTTACCTGAATCTGGTACATGAATTGCATAATGACTATCATCCTTTATTTTAGTACTGAGGATCGAACTCAGGACCTTGCACCTGCCAGGCAGGCACTGTGCCGCTGAGCTACAGCCTCAGCCCACTATCACTTTTTTTGGGTGATGATACTGCAGACTGAACTCTAGGGCCTTCACACTGAACTACATCTCAGCTCTTTTTAAAGTTTTGTCTCCTGATCTTTTTTTTTTTTTTTTTGGTACTGGGGATTGAACTCGGGACCTTGCACTTGCCAGGCAGGCGGAGGAACCACTGAGCTAAATCTCCAGCTCTTTTTAGTTTTTATTTTCAGACAGTCTCAGTAAGTCACCAAGCTACCCAAGCTGGGCTTGAATTGGTGACCCTCATGCCTCAGCCTCCCAGAGTGCTGGAATCATAGGCATGCATCACCACACCCAGGTAACAATCACTCTTGTATTTATAAACCTGTGTAGGTATTTTATTATCATTTGAATCAGCATGAGTACTATATTTGTAACTGGGGACTCTCAAATTATTTATCCATAATCAGGATTTGTTTTGTTGTATTTGCTCTTACAATGCTTGCTGTGTACTCCATTCATGATGTGTTAAGAATTCCTGTGGTTGAGTGGTTCCACCGCCTGCCTCGCAAGTGCAAGGACCTGAGTTCGATCCCCATACCAAAAAAAAAAAAGTTTAGATCTTTAAAAATAAAAGCTGGAGGAATGCGAACTTCCAAAAAACAAGAAACTGGCATCTTGGAGAAACAAGCTAAGAAAATAGGATTAGAGAAAACAAGTGCCATTGCAAATGTTGTGAAAATACAGACACTGGATGCCCTGAACGACACACAGGACAAGCTCAACCATAAATTTCCAGCAACAGTGCATGTGGCACATCAAAAACCCACACATGCTCTGGAGAAGGTCACTCCACTGAAAAGGATCTACATTATTAATTAGCCACGAAAATCTTAAGCCAGGACATAAAACACAGCCAACTAATCGACTGCATCAGTCATCTGGCAGCTTAGCAAAAAGGATCCAAACTTTCCAGAGCCCTAGCGTACTTGATTGGTAATTAAAACAGCTTTTGTATCTTCCCTGTTGACTTTAGATAATAAAGCACCTAAAATTGTAAATACAAAAAAAAAAAAAAAAAAGAATTCCTGTTGTCCGGGGCCAGGGATTTAGCTCACTGGCCCCAGGGCCTACCTTGCAAGCACGAGGTCCTGAGTTTGATCCCCGGTACTGGTGGGGGTGGGGGGAGAAGAATTCCTGTTGTCCTTCAGATATGCAGCACAACCTAAAACTGCTATTTGATACTTTCACACTAAAGTCCATTTTTATTATTATAAAGCCCATAAAACTGTATCTGACTATGATTTAAGCACCTAAAGTACATTCTGACCAATTTATATTTTCTGAGCTAAAATTAGGATCCTCAAAATTTGTGTGTATGTACAAACATTGCAAATTATTTCCTTAAGCTAATAAAAACTTTAAAAAATACTAACAATCCTTTACTATAAAGATTCAAAATCCAAATATGAGTGCTCTGCCTTAAGAGGAAGCAAAAACTTGGCTGCATGTAGATAAAGCAACCACTCCTTAGCGGAGCCAAGTTGTGTCCAGCTGCATCTGGTTCTTGATGCTGGTATCCATTTTTAGCACTTCTCGGATGGCCATGGTAGCGTAAGTAGAAGGAGGAAGTGAAAAATGCATTTTCAGAGCCCTGTATTTGCCTTCAGAAGCAAATACTGGTGGTGGTTTCCCTTCTAGGTTGTCCACATCAGTGTTGAAAAGTGGAATTTTAGGGTCATCATATACAACCACTTCCCAGCTGACATTCTGAGGACGAACAATGATCTTTCGGTAGGCCCCTGATAAAGAATAATCTCTAATTTTGCATCTCATATTGTCAATATCAAGGTTGTCCGTGGTCAGCATTTCTCTGTAGGCTTCACTAATCTTATGCTTTGGGTAGATCACATCAAAACCAGGCAAGGGCATCAGCACATCATGAATGGAGTAATTAGTAACATCTTCTTCCTCAATATAGGTGGCTGTGGCTCCTTTGAGAACAAGGTCCCCTAGGACAGGTTTCATCCCGTAGTCTTCTATCCCCTTGCTCACCATGTTATTCCACACGTAGCTTTGATAGCTATGGATATACATTAAGCGATTATTTCTTGGTACTATGCCAAATGCAGAGACTATATTCTTCATTCCATATTTTGAAAGTCCTTGAAGCAGCTGCTGTAGATCTATATCTTAAACAATGCATAGCTTTTTTTACAGGCTTACTTTTTTTCCTCATACATGAATATCTTGTTCATGAAGCTTGAGAGATTTTAGATTTCAACAGTCAAAGAGATTTGATTTTGCCATTTCTCATTTTTAGTTTAACAAGTACATCTCTATTCAATATCTTTAAAAGTTTCCTATTGTTATCATCATTTGAAAGCTAACCTGATTATGTAGTTTAGCTCAGTATAGTTGTAATGCTTTTTTTAATGCAGTAGTCAAATTCGGTATAATTCCATGCCCTAATTAAAAGGAGTATGTTATGAAATATAAGCTATATTATTAATATGAAATAAAGTATTTTATTACTATTTCATACATTTGAATATTCTTATAACCAACTTTTCAAAAGACTACAAAATGCTCAGACTTCTAAAATATTAGTTCATTAACATTATTGTAATTTGAAAAAATTCCAAAGCACCAAGTTGTTACCTTTCCTATGATTTATCTAAAATTAGAATATATTTTATGAAATCACAACTTTGAAATGACTTCCTTTATAAGATTTATTAAAATACTAAGAAGAATTTGACCTCCATTTTAGGAAAAATGGGGTTTAGTTACAGCTTTCATGTTATTTATTACTGAAATCTATGTTTATCCTTTAAGAATTTTGGTATATTTAGAACCATGGAAAAATCATGTATGCTGCAATTCACTATTCGTCATTCTTACATCATTCGTCAATAAAAACCTCTGGAAAGCCTTAAATTAATGTGATGTTAGCACTGATGTTATCCAGCTGTATGTGTAATAAAACAAATAGATCATATTTGAAGAGAAAATGCTAAAATAAAGTAATTTTTTTCTCTTGAGAAAACTACAAAGTAGTAATGCAGAAAAAGAAATCAGACAGTAATATTAGAAAATTATATGAGTTCATAATGTGATAAAATTACAGAAGGGCAAGTCTTCTCATCACTATTTAATACAATAAGTTTGTTCAGAAAGTTTAAGATATAGTTTCATCAAACAGTGAGCAAAGTGTTGCTATCTGCACAACAGAACATGGAGAAGGAAACACTGAAAGAGTTTATTTGCCAAATAAGTTTTGAGATGATTAAATGAGACTTTAAGTGATGAAACATTGGTGGTGAAAACGGTGGATTTCTGAGGTTGTCAAGATTAAAAGGCATAAGTCATTGGAGATATACTGTCCTATGACCTTGCATAAGAGAATTTTTCTTAATTTTGGTATTTATTGAAACTCTTTCTTAGAATATTGAATTATCAGAATTATCTACAAGAAATACTTTTTGCTCATTAATTCCTTTTTTATAGTCAAAATATTTGTAAAAATTAAAGTGTTGGGACAGACAGAATCAGTTGCTCATTATTACATTAATATCAAAAAAGTTGAATTGGATTTCTTAGACTCAGTACATTTAAAATAATTCTACTAAAGATATATAATGTAATTTATAAAAGACCTTAGTGAAACTGTCATTATGCTATGTATTGGCAACAACCCTTCTCAACTATACATTACTGTAAAAACTAATCTTGATTTATGTGTTATATACATTATATGAAGGGATTAAATGCAAATCTTACCCTTATAAGTCACAAGGGCTCCATTTTCTGCCTTGAAGAACATGGTAAGATACTAAGAAAGATATAGTTTTATTATGACCCAATGCCTCATGTGCTCATAGGTGGGGCTTTTGGAAGATGACTAGATCTAGGGTGTGTGATACTGGGATTAAGGATGTGTGGTACTAAATTAGTCCACTGATTGGAATTAGCATACTTTTGGGTGTGGCTGAATGGATTTACTGGAGACAGAAGCCCCTGGGAAGGGTGGCCCCATCCAAAACGCTTGTACCCTGGATGGGATAAAAGATGGAAGGCTTACTGATGCTGCTCATTGCTTCAAGGTCTCCTGCCTGCTTTGCCATGGACAATTCCTTCTCTGCATGCTCCTCTGTCATGCCACCCTGCCTTGGAGCCGCTGAAAATAGACTGAAACCTCTACAAACCCTCCTTTTACTGTGGGTGTCAGGCATTTTTGTCTCAGAAATGAGAAAATTACGGGCCTGGGATTCAGCTCAGTGGTGCAGCCGCCTGCCTTGCAAGCACAAGGTGCTGAGTTCAATCCCCATTACCAAAAAAGAAAGAAATGAGAAAATTAAGACAAGTATTGATGTTTTTCCTTTCAAATTAATCATCAATTGTGAGCTATTTAATATTTAAGTAAATTATATCACCAAAATATTCACATTGAACTCTTTCATCCAGCATAAAATTTATGGAAGATTTAAAAATATTTCAATTTGTTTCTTTAAATGCAATAAGATTGGGTCTCATTGATACAATTTGGTATAATACATATCCATTAATCAACTTTCTAGGTGATATATTAATATAAATATACTCATATATATGGATTATGAAATATTTTCAATTTATTTATTTTTCCAATTTTTTTTATTAGTGCATGTTTGCAGTACATTATGATTATGTTCCTCATGGGGAGTTGAGTTAAAACATACACAACACATTTTAATTCTTTTTTTATCCCTTTCCCCTGCCTTCCCTTCCTCCTCCCTCTAACTCTGCCCCTTTCCCTTTTGTGAAAGATCTCTCCATTTCCTATTATCTTTTATTTCACTCTTTATTTATATTTTGGTTTTCTCATATCAGAGAAACTATAAATATTTAAGCATGTGTGTTGGATTTATCTCACTTAATATCATGTTTTCCAGGTGCACACATTTTCTTACAAATGACTCATGTTTATCCTTCTTTATGGTAGAGTAGTACTCCATTGTTTATAAATACTATATTTTCTTTATTCATCCATCTATTGATGAACATATAGGCCTTTTCTAAGATTTAGCTATTATGAATTGTGGTGATATAAACCTGGGTATGCACAAATCACTGTAATATGATGTATTCAACTCTTTCAGGAAGATACATAAAAGGGAAATAGCTGGGTAAAATAGAACTTCTAATTTTACTATTTTGAGGAATTTCCATACTGATTTCCATAATGGTTATACTAGTTTACATTCCCAACTACAATGTAGACAGGCTTCTCTTTCCGTGCAGCCTTGCCAGCACTTGTTATTATTTGATTTCTTTATGCTTGGCATTCTTTCTGGAATAAGATAGAATCACACTGTTGTTTTAATTTGCATCTTTGTAGTGCCTAGTAATGTTGAATATTTTTTCATGTATTTATTGGCCATTTGTAATTCTTCTGAGAAACATCTTATTCATTTCTGTTGCCAAATTTTTATTGGGTCTTTTATTTTGGGGGTTCTGATTTTGTGAGGTCTTTATATATTCTAAAATATTAATCCTCTATAGCAGACAAAAACATTTTTCCATTTCTGTAAGTTGTCTCTGCATTTCACTGGTTATTTCCTTTGCTATGCAGAAGTTTTTAATTTAATAAGATCCCAATTGTTGATTCTTTGTGCTATTTCTTGTGCCACTGGAGTTTTGTTCAGAAAATCATTGCCTATAGCTATGTCTTCAAGAGTTTTACCTATTTTATTTTCTACCTGATTAAGTGTTTCTTTTTTAACTTTTAGATCTCTGATCCATTTTGATTTTAGTTGAGTACATGGTGAGAAATATGAGTCTAGCCAGTTGAAATATTTAAAATAGATTATAGCAAATCTAATAATATTACAATACGTTGTAGCAACATTTCTGCTGCATTCTTGATTTCATTCAATCCCACCAATAAACTTATGGGATAATTATTAGTATTCCTATTTACAGATGAGGAAGTTGAAGCTTAGTGAGGCTCTGTAAATTCCCCCAAACCACACAGCTAATTAGTGTCTTAGAGATTGAAGGATTTTCAAATGAACTTCTGCTCATTCTTGGACCTCTTATGTAAGAATAAAATCCTAACAATCTATTTTAACCTTTCCTTCATGATTGTCATTTATTGTTTTGCAGTAGATATACAAATATGCCAAGTATCAGAGTTCTAAATAGCCCTGTGTTCTTTGGAATTTAAGTTTCATAGGTTTCACTGGGATTCTATGTTTGGATTTTTAATATTTTTCTTAAAAAGAAATTCATGGCATCTTATTTTTCTTTCTTGATAGTTTTACAAAGCTCAGCACTTTGATCATTTTGGATAAAATTGTTTAGTGTGAACTTGTGATAGGACTTAGCATTTGAATAGAGAAATGAGTGGTATAATTGTCTGACATTAACCAAATTTTCTTGTGGATGATATTTTCTGCCCTGAACAGTTATCCCTGTATGGATATCTTTGTATATCTTGACCTTGGCACATTCGAAGTATTATACTGGACAATTCTCTATTATGTGGGGATGTCCTATACATTTTAGGGTATGCAGCATCCCTGTCCTCTACTCACTTGATGCTAGTAGCCCTTACTCTTCCCCAATCCTGACAACTTAAACTGCCTCCAGAAAGTGTTAAAATAATAAACATTCCTTCAGGGGCAAACACCTTCTGTTGAGAATCAATATTTGTGACAATTTAATCAAATGAGAGACAGAGAGAGAGAGAGAGAGAGAAAATATCTTTCAAATTAGAAAAACATTTGTTTTCTGACCAACTTAAAGATTTTAGCTTTGCTGAATGAATGAAAGGGTTCTTAATAGATGATTATACAAACAACTTACTCCAATCAAATTTTCACTAAAATTGAGAAAATTGTGTTAATGTTCATATAGATGAAAAAACCTTGAAAAGTGAGGAAATCATTACATATTTGGTGTCTTAAAATCGAAACATAACCAATACACTAAGGTGTAGTTGTACATTGCAGTGATTTCCTTCACCTTGTCTTCCTGTGGGTTAGATTTTATGCTTGGCCTAAGGAGCTATTTTCTCATTAGATTAAATATTGTGATATAAAATTCCCCAAAGCAAAAAAATAATTTTCAACACAGGTGGGTTTCATAAGGTTTAATGCCAAAGATTTAAAGCATCTTGTGCCAGGGGGTACTTTGTTTGCAACTGAAAGAAAACATTTCCTGTATTAGCTACACAGAATGATGACTTTCATTCCCAAAGTAGCTCTTTGAAGGTTCATTTAAAATACAGTGAGAAACATTAAATATCCACTTCCCTTTAGCCCCAACAGTACCATTAACTCTATTTGTCCTGCCCTCCCCAAAACTGAAAGAAGGTGTGGGACATAGGAAAATGGGGGAAATGCTTTATGGTGTATTTTTTTCCATAAAGAAATTAATCACAGAAGGATGTTAAAGTTTTTAATCAGTGACAGCTTTATATGATGTCAATGGGAGGTTAATCTAGATAAGGACAAGCTTAATTCCCATTACATATGATGATCTGGTACAAATGAAGTCTTCCATATCTAACCAAGAAAACCTTCTGATTATCATCCAATGATACACTTTCTCACAGCCTTCTTTTGTCAATAAGTGAGCACTGTAGTTTATAGAGGGTTCAGGTTACCTATGAAATAGTGGATGCAGTCCCATTGCCTTACAAGAGCCAAAAGATTATAACACCTAAATAGGGAGAAAATGCAAAGAACTGCTAGAAATGTATAATTATAATTCCCCTCTAAACATAAAATATACACTCAATCAATGTTTAACTAAACTGAGAGAAGTTACATGATTTAGAAAACAGATTATATTTTTAAAGGAAGACTTGCATCCATATAAAAGAAAGTTGTAAATAACCTCAAATTCTTAAATGCCTTTGAGGGAATGTATTAGAAAGTCTGGCAAATTTTCATTTGATTATTTAATATCTATAACTTTGACTGAAAGTTAAAAAGAAAAAGTGGTGAGCTGAGAAATATCATATTTAGAACTTCCATAAAGCCTAGAATTTCTGCAATAGTTTACTATCCTCGTAAGTTCATTTAGATTTTCTAAGTTTTGGTAAATGTGCTCAAAATAAGGATATTATTCTTGAATGATATTATGGTTTAGATATAATACATTGCCCAAAAGTCTCATATGTTTGGAAGATGATTGGCTCTTGGGGGCACTGCGCTCATCAGTGGATTTATCCACTGAAGAGTTTAAGTAGTTCATCCGCTGTGAGTAGGTACAGTCTGATTGGAGGGGTAGGTCACTGGGATCATAATCTGGAAAAAGATATCCTTGCCCCTGATCTTCTCTTCCTCCTTGCTCTCTGCTTCCTAGTTGCTATGGGTTGAGAAGCTTTCCTCTACATGCTCTTCCATCAGACTGTTGCTGCCACAGAGTCAGCTAACCATGGACTAAACCCACTAAATGAACTTATTCCCCTTTAAATTGTAGGTACTGGGTATTTTGTCACAGTGATGGAACAGTGACAAAAATGTGGTACCTGAGAAGTGGGATCATTGTTGTGACTGTACCTGACCATGTGTTTTAAAAGCAGCTGGAACTGGTTTAGAACTGGGAAGATTTGGATATGTGAGCTAGAGAAGGCCCAGAATGCTTTAAGCAGAATGTAATGGACAATTCTGATCAGAGCTCAGAAAAACAGAATGGTGTCAGGAATGCAGACAGTAAAGGCCAGACTAGTGAAGATTTAGATGATAATGAGCCCTTTTTTGGAAACTGGATGAGAGGCCATGCATATTTCAATCTAGCAAGAATTTTTCTACATGTTATCTATGTTCAAAGACTTTATGTGAGGCAGAATTTAAAGGTGGTGGATTAACTGATTTGGTGTAGGAAATTTTAGGCAGCCCAATGTTCAGGATGAAGCATAAGTACTGCTGACTTATTAACAGAGCTGAGCTGAATGATTTGAAAAATGCAGCTAGGCAGCAAAGAGGCACCTACAGGTGTTGGGTTCCAGGAGGGTACAGCTGTTAAAATATTAACATTAAAAAGTAGGCAATACTTTGCAACAGTGCAATAGGAAACATACCATGAGGGCCTCTCAGGAAATGGCCAGAAAGACCTTCACCTATCTCAGGCTCAGGGTGTAAATGGTAAACTACTTCAAAAGTCTGCT